AGATGTCCTTGTAAAACAAGGAGAACTTGCTTGATGTTGGTTTGGTTATGTCTTGAGTGCCTGGGGGATAAGGATGTTCTTGACGGCCGTCTTGCATCTGTGATGGTGAAATAATGAGCCGTGTGTGTGGGCTTGCAATACACTGCTTGACCGGGGCAGCTTTGTGCTCTATGGGCGACTTGAACATCAAGGGGTGAGATGGAGTTGTTCTTTTCCAGCTCCGTGGTGAATTCAATGAGTGGATGCTGCTTGTTTTAAGTGCTCGACACTATCCTGCAGGACAGTGGATTCCACATCGACAGCATCTACTGTGCACTCCTGAAACCTAAAAGTAACCTATTTACACACTCCAGTGCTCACCCACAGCCATGCTCCACCATTATCCCTTAAGCAGAGCATCCCTCAAGCCAAGCTTCACTCAAGCTGAGCATCCCCAAAGCCAAGCATCTTTCAGCCGACCATAATCCCCACCTTAGGTACTTACATGACTTAAGGCATTATCTCAGCAGCAGGCCAAACTCCTGAAGACGGACACAGTAGGCTGTCCAAAATGCTGCGAACATTCTCACCAGTTCTTTTTTGAACCACACCTCTTCAAACAGATAGATTTCATGGTTATAACCACAAGCTATCATTTGCATGTACCTAATATCGTTACACCATGCTAAGCTTCAAAACATACTTGTACATGTATGTAATTAAGAATAGTGTATTGTAATAACATTGACCAGCTTGCCCCCTGTGTGAGCATGCATGTACATAGCATGCAATTTATTAGTGGCAGCTAATTTTGCTACATGCATCTATGTGTATCTAAGATTGGACAGCTGCGCACAAGAGGAAATCTGCTTCATTTGATACAGTGGAGAGAGGCTTTGACTTGCAAAGCTTAAAAGTATACCCGATTTGCTAGGTCTAAGAGAGCTGAGCATCAGGCACAAAATGAAGCCAAAATGCTGCTTTGAAAAAATAGATTAATTACGATAATTTTTCTACCAATCCTCACGACTGCAAACTGAGTAACATACAGCACTCTCCACATTGGAAAATTCCAGCCATACGTTTCATCAGAAATATGAAGTAAGCAATGTTAATAATGCTATTTTAATCTTTCTTTGAATTGTAACACAAAGACTGATGGTGGATACCTTTTAAACTATTAAAAGTTTAAATACATATCAGAGCAGTATGGAGCAATAAGCCATTTGCAAGTTAAATTTGAATAAAATCTGGTTCACCGAGTTATTACACTGATTGCACATAAACATAACAATTTGAATTCCCCAAACTAAAGACACTGTTGCTGTACCTCATGATTTGGGGCAAGCTTTTGCTTAGTGACCTCTTTCTCTGGATTCTGGAATGGACTACAGTGTAGTTCCTTTGTGCCCTTCTTATCCATTGAGAACAGTGTATTGCATTGTTGCAAGGCATCTCTTATGTAACTAAGAAAATGCTTGCCCCGAATCACAGGGTATAGCACGGTGGTGTTAGTATGGAGAATTCAAACTATTATGTTCATGTGAATTTAAAGAACTCAGTGTACCTGATTTTATTCAAATTTTACTCACAAAAGGCTTATTGGCCGCTATTGTTCAATTGTGCTACTGTTTTCCGTGAAAGAATCATGAATACATGCGACAGACAGTTCATTTTAAGGTATAGGAAGTATACAACTGATATCACCCATCTGAAAAAAGATGTATAATTAATGCACACCAAGAAACAGGTGCATAAACACAATTAATGAGAATTTACTATGGCTTTGCAATTTACTCTTCCTAAAATGTTAGCACAGGTATACAAATACAGATATTAGATATTCTGTGAGTTTCTGTCCTCACAAAAGAAAAAATTGCATCCCATCATAGTGATCCTGTCTGCCATGTCCAAGATGTCTTAAAAACATTCCAAATTTGTGGTTACTATTTTGAGTGATGATAAAAATACAAGCACATGTACCATGCTCCACATGCTTCGTTAGCATCATATCAACTAAACTGCCCCAGGAGACCATCTGTACTGACCTGAATCAGACCCATACATAAAGTACAATTTCATTTCTTAACATCATGAAACCCAGTTGAAATCATGAGTTGAATTCTATAAATGCTGTGGATTCACTGCAGTGTCTGGAATGTAAGTGTGGCTTGTTTCCACGGCTGAAATTCATGGGAAATTCCTATCTCATACTGTACATATGTATCCCTCCTGAGTAATAATCCCACACTTTTTAGCACTGATTTAATGAATATTATATAAATGACATTTGACCATGAGGCATGGATGAAGTGCAGGTATATAGTATATGTATAGCACTAAACCACACCAAACAGGAATCTTTTGGTACGTGTATGGTTTCACATGACATCCTATTTTAGTAAACCCATGGAAAATAGTACTTTAATGAAACAAATATTGCAAGAAAAAATGGATGATTGTTAACTGAACAAACATACAACACAACTGCCTGTACATGTAGGGCCTACATGTACATACATGTATACAATTTACGTGTGTGTGCATGGGCAAGATGATGTTTGTTCGAACAAGGTCACAAACATCCGGACCAAAAACTTTTAGGTACAGTGGGTGGCTATGCCCCCTCCCATACATGAAATTATATCAGCTACATTGATAGTTACTATCATAGCTTATGTGGGAAAAGGGTGTATTATATATGCATTCATGCTGTGCATAATGTACAAGGTACACATAAAAATAGAACGCATTGCACTGTTGCCACATACACTGAATAATTAGCATCAATCATGTCAATTGAAACATCAACCTGCAATTTTCTCTAAGCAATGAAAATCCCACCTCTCACCCGTGAAGTACTGTATTTTAGATTCTCCCAGGGGGGTTATCATATAAGCAACTTTACTTAGAAATTGCCCTCCCCCCACTGACAAAACCACCTCCAATTGAGAAAAATCCTTACAAAAGGTACGTGTACGAAAACAAAAAATAAAAAATGGTTATCCTAAACCCCGTAGTCAAAATTGAGTGCATGTATGGTATGATTTCAGGCAATGGATAGAGTTTTTTAAAATTTACGTGTACATATGAGTAGGAGGGCAAGAAATGTGGGGAAGTAACATGGATACTACAAATTCTAATAATTTAGACCAATAACTGCATTCCTACATTTTAATTCATATCTTATGTAATCCCTAACCAACAAGTTCTTATTTCATAAGAAAAAAGTTACATGCAGATGGAAAACTTTGAAAGCATAATATTTACAAGCAGGAATCTACATTTTTTCATACATAAACTTGAAATTTATCTTATCTTTTGTGCTGTCTCAATAAGGCAGCATCTCAAAAGTCAGAAGGCTAAAGAAGGTTCCAACAAGGAAACAAGAACAATGCTTGTTCAAATTAGGAACACCTGCTGTTTCTTCTTAGAGCAACGCATGTTCCCAATTGGGAACAGGAAGTGGTGTATATGTGTGCAATCCTAGATCAGGAATGTCATCTTCCCCAGTGAATACTCAGAATACAGTGACTTTCCATCGGGAATACACCGTGTTCCATAAAGGAGCCTTCCAGTTGGAACAGGCGTGTTCTGCAGTTTGAGATGTTCCCTTACTTCGCCCCATCCTACTATGTAGAGAGAAGCGCAAGCACAGTGCAAATCTACCAATGAAATTTCATAAGCAGTGAGATCCCTCACTGTCCCTGCATAAGCACAGGTTACAAGTCTCTTCACTCATCCTCCTCACTAGGCTACGTAAATGTAAGCTATGCAATATGCTCTCCAGTTTGTGCACTAAGTCCAAAGATGTGAAGCTGGAGGGAAAATGTAGCGTCAAGCAGAAAATCAGTCTATCTACATGTGCAGGAGCAGCTGTAGAGCCAATGCTTTTCCGTTTCAAAACTGTTGCTGTATTAAAACTACAACTTGACAGCGTAATGAAGTTTGGTTTGCGTACATTACATGGGTGCATATGTCCACACACTGGGTTTTGAAACCCAAATTTCATTTACATGTATATCTGGCCATTTTCCCAAAGATTTCAGAGGGGTAATAAAAGATATTCATCGAATAAATTTAAAGACTGAAAAATGTCGCTGGTTAGTTTTGGCCTCATTTTACTTAGTGGTGTACAATTATCTCCCTAACCCTCTACCTATCCACTACTTAACAGTTACCTTTTACAGATTTCGGTTCAATTTTAAACGTTTAGTATCTTATTGGTCATATTAGTACTGAATCAGAGGTTAAATTCCCTTTTGAAATAAACTTGTAGTTCATTGTTATACTGAGGCAAAAAGTCATTGGCTCTACATTTCATGGCAAGGACCAAAGGTTGACCAGTGATACAGATCAGAAGCAGCACATGTGACAACCATGACAAACTGTCACTAAAAGGTTCTCGAGCTGTCGGAACTGTCAAAACATGATTGTTGATGGAACAGTTTGCAGACCACCCCGGTTCCCTTTTTGAAGAAGGTCCAAACTTGGGCCCTGGTAGTGCAGATGAGGTTGGCCTTCCCCCGGTGCGGTTTCTTTGGTATGCGCAGTCAGGAGCGTGCCTGCTCCTCCAAGCCAAGCTGGAAGAGGAGGATGCCCATCGGCGTCCGCTTCAGCCCCAGCGATTCCAACTTCTTGCCCATCTTGTTCTTCAGGTTGCGCATCCTCAGCGAAGCGTGGATGAAGATCACTGAAAAAAGCCCCAGATATCATACAGGTTGGTAAGATTTGGTCCGTATCACAACCAGAGGCCTTTCGACCACAAGTACATTATACATTGTACATTCATATAGTACATTTAGTATCAAGCTTGGTATTGTATCAAGCTTGACCCAAAATTTGCAGCCTAAGATGTCAAATGCAATGCTGGTTAATACTGAACAGGCATGCTAAAACTACTGACACTGTCAGTTGCAAGAGTGGAGAGGGTAGCTACTGAATGATGCTGGCTACTGAATGGTGGCAGTGGTACAGGGACAAATTATGATAGTGATTCCAAATGAATGAGAATTGGCTGCTAACCACAGTCCTTTCTGGCCTCCCATGCCTGTACATAGAATTCCAAGACCTGCTACAAAATAATCTGGCAAACTAAATTGACAGTGTAGTCAATAATAGGGCCAGCTATTGAATAATGGCTATACAGGTAACAAGGTAAACTACTGAATGACAGAGAACAGCAGACTAACAGGGCCACCTACTAGCTGACAGGACCACCTGATGAATAACATGGCCACCTCATGAATGATGGCCAGCTATTGAGAGATGAGACCAGCTCTGAAGTGGTGAAAACATCTTCTGTACTCATATGTGATGCGGCCAGGCTCTGCAAGAGAGCTCTAGCTACTCAGCTTTTTAGGTCGATCATTAGTAAAATACTCACTTGCCAGTGGAAGAGTGACGCCCCACAGGAACACCAGCAACCCACCGAACACCTTGAGCGATAAGAAGCAGCTCAGCAGGATGAGGAGAAAGCAGACAAAGGGATGGTTCCTCTTGAATCGATGCACCTCCACCCGGTTATTGCTGAAGTAGATGAAGATGGCAAAGATGACCACTATGGTGAGGATGCCCAATAGCATGGACTTGGGGTTGAGGGTCCTGAGTAGGGGAAGAAAAAAATAACCATTTAGAGTCTATCACCGGCAGATGCCCGGTAAACCAAATTGTATAAATTTACATGAATCCAAATCATATTAGTTTCCTCATTCATACAAACAACATGATGACTAGTACATATATCGATAGGTAGAGAATAAAGTGCATTGGGCTACTTCAAGTAATCTTTGGGAATTTTAATAACACTACTGTACCTTTTACATATGCACATATATATTTATGTAAAATGTAGTTTCTTGCATTGCTTTGGAGTTAAACAATGCAACTTGGCCACTGTTTGACTCAAAATTGTGCAAGTCAATAAATGCAGTGCATTACGGTCCTTCAACTGCAAGGTGGCACTAAAGCCTATCTTATACTCAGTGAACCTACATGTACATCAGCATTAGGCTAGTAAGTTTACTTTTTTCAGGTGATTAACTTCTCCTGCTTCAATTGTAGTTTTGATAAATTGAACTGCCATTTCCCCCCCTTTGTCACGTGCTAATTTTTATGCAAGGTACATATTCTATAACAAAATTTTGGGAATTTTCCTATTGAAACTTTCATCTTGAAATTTCTCAGTATGGAAAGGCTGCCAAAATACCTGACATTAGCAGCGGGAGTCCAGAAGAAGGTAATGGTGTTACTAACTAGAAAAAAGTCTGTGTTAAAAACCTTCCCTTGTCTACTTTCTGCACTCTATACTGCCCGCTGGTGGTGGACCCTGGATATGCAGGTACTAGTAGTCCAGAATCCAGGTCCCATTTATCAAAACAATACAAATACAACTAGCCTTCACGAAGTGTATTTTGTTGTCATGCAGTTCCACTTTACTATTAGTACTAAAATGGCACAGCACAATTACCATCAATTCACCCTTCAAGTGGTCTAGTGTTTAAGGCCATGGCATGAGAGTTGGCCCCCGTAAGGATACAAGGGCCTAGGATTAAAGGTCAGTAATAGTGATGCCACATCATGCAGAATAATCAAAAAGGTGGAATGCAGTAAAGTCTACACAGCAGTACTATTACTAGTAGGGTGTTCATTACCATTAGCACCCTGTTCCTAGTATAATAAGGAAAACAAAGTCCACTTTTTCAAACTAACATTCAGACCTTTAGGATTCGTTCCTTATTCCTAGTAGCTCCAGTTTAGGTAAATTTTGACAATATTTAAGCAAGAAAACCAGAATTTTTTACCCCAGTTCGGTGAAAGATGACCGCATCACGCCATTTTGTCTTACGTCTTGTTACCCGTTACCCAACCCAGCCATTGTGGATATATTTATAGGCCAACTGAATTTCATAAAAGAAACTTTTATGGTTCCAGGTCAAGGAACCAGACTACATGCGCTGATTCGTCTTCGTTCGCAGCTCTTCGTCGCATCACTTATGCTGCCATTTCACCCCATAATAATCCCTCAACATGCTCAAAAACCAAAGTCTTTCCCTCTTTTCTTTCTGATATGAAAGAGGACTTCACCGCCAACTTATTTTGGTGAGTGGTGGTGGTGGTACAGGGTTCTAATGGCATGGTAACAAACGCCAGTACTTAGCACTACTAGGCCTACTACTAGCAGTAGCATGACTAGTAGTACTACAGTAGTAGTACTACTAAAAGTACTACTAGTAGGGCCTAGGCCAACTACAACTACAGTACAATGTCTGACCCCACTGTCATGACTGTTCAGGATGTAGGCCTAAGCCTAGTCATGTAGTATTAGTACCCACCCAACTATGAGAAATATCAGTACAGCAGTCAAAATATAGTTAGTTTGGTAGTACAAAAGGTTGTCTATAATGCGATTGGCCCATCTTGACGGATTATTTATGGCAGGCGTGGAGAAGCGGGCTGATTCTAGGAGAAAATCACTGAGAGATCGTAAAGGCGGGACCTCGAAGTCATCCATTTTGTGTACGTGTGTCGGATCACCTGGTGCTCTTCCCCTTGTTCGTTTAACTTTACATAAGACTGCGCAAGGTTTAAGACCAACCAATTGCGAGGGGTAGACTTGTCAAAACGTATTTCTGTATTATTTTATGACCTTTATTCTTTGTTGTAATGTTCAATGTTGAAGTTTATTGTTTATTTAAGAACATCCAAACTTCGCAGCCCAGAGGTCGAATCACATTTGAATTTTCAAAATAAAAATTAAATAAAAACAAATATCAATGTAATTGTATTATTACAACATTACTATAAATTACATCAAATATCATATTACATGACGAGACGGCATAATAAACATGAGGTAAAACTGTTCAAAAGTTTCTTCAAATTAATAAGCAATCATTAAATTAATTGGTTGATTTATTCATTGAATAAACACAATATGCCGATTTCGAACAGTTTCCATTAACACTGTTTACGTATCAAGCAAAGAGCCATTCAACCAAGGGTATGAAGATGGACTAGTTATCAAGTTTAACGTTTTCACCCATGCATCACGGTAGCGTCCGCTCCCAATGTAGATGACGTTATTATCAGTTTTTCTCAGTGACAATTGGTGATGTTTTCAAAATATAAGGTATTCTATGAGTATAATAAATTGTATTGTCCATTAAAAATTTTACCTTTTGTTCATTTTTTTTTTTGTTTATCCCGCAAAGACCAGTTTTATAGGGCATTTTCTTTGATTTGAAAAAATAAACACATAAACAATGCCCCAATCACCAACCATGCTAACAGGCTGTTTGAAACTTCTTGAGCTCCCCAGGTTAAATATTGGTTTGTGAACTCGGTTTGCAAGGAATCCTTGCTCGGCAAGTATCGGCAAAGTACAAGTCATCAATATATTATTGGTGGTGTGGGGCCTATACCCTGCATAGAGGCACTAACGTCAGTAGTGCACGCCGGTTTTTGTTAATTGATTGGGAAAAATATAAATTAACGGCCAACTGCAAGCACCTCCCGTCTAATCCTACCTCTCTTCATACCAAAGGGTCAAAGCTCACTACCTTTTCCTGTTTTTTTTTTAATTTTTTTTTTATTTAATGGCTTGAGGGTGCAGAGGACATCCATGTACTAGTAGGAACTTAAAACCATTTAGAACAAAATCTATGTGCAAAAATTAATAATAACGGGATTATAAGACCAGCGTCCACAAAACCCCCACATATAAAGACTTAATAGAAAAAAAAAACATTTGAAGCGCAGGGTTTTAAAGTCCAGCCGGGCATGCCGGGCATGCCGGGTTGGACGCCAGCGCAGACTTCACTATGGTCAGGGAGTCTACCTGGCATACGTGGGCTAATTTAGGGCCAAACATGACACATTTTAAATAGTGTATATATTTAACTGGCGCCTGCAACAATTATCTAAACGGTATTTATAACCGATTATGTCGATTTAGCTGGCTACAAGTAGACATATTGACATGCATATAGAAATAAGCCTGTTAAAGGTTGTTACTACCTCCAGATTTGAGTGCTCAGTAGCCTCTTTGATCTCCATTAGACATAGTGGGCAAATCCTGAGATCACATGACACGCTCCCAGCAGGGTTCGATTCACACCGATCGTCACCACTATTTTCGTCCCCAAAAGTAAGAATATTCTTATTCTTCTTATTTTGTTAAATTTCAAACTGGCTCTTGGCTTGGGCAGTTTTTCGGTACACATGTAGGCCTAGGCCTAATTACCGAATAGTGGCGGTATTTTTTCAATACCGAACAGTGCAGTTTACCGACTAATGATCTATTCTAAACACCGACATGTCGGTAAACTTGGTATGGAATTTCAATACTGTGTTATTCTTGCTAATTTTCACGGAGTGTGTGCGGAGCTCTTTTGAAATGAAGAAAAACACCACATTGTCATATTACAATCCATTCTTTGTGGTACAAGTGATCCAGTGTCATGTCTGCATTGTCACAACTGCAGAGAGATAAGACGTAATTGTCCAGCATGTGTGACATAATAATGATGAAAGCAACCCTCTGCAATCTTGGTCAAGACGTTGTTGTGATAATTTAATAAATATTGCATTTAGCTGCCCGATGTATATTTTAACTTATACTCAGTGTTTGCCCCCAAGGGCTCCTGTGAAAAAATCCACAAGCCTGACATGCCGTGCGTACTCGGGTGGGACTCGAACCCACGCCGGATTTCCTGCTTACTATGAGCCATGGAGGCTAGGGCAGACGTCTCAACCACTCGACGAGCTTGTTAATTCGAGTCAAATGTAGCAGCAGGTACCGCGAACAATTATTTCCAAGGATGAATTTACACCTTGGAAAATTTAATTAATATTGGATTTCGCCCTGCCCGACGCGTAGTGACTCGACTTATATATATATATATACACAGCCCGCTGACGCCGGCAAGCTCGGTGGTCGACTCAGTGGTTAAGACGTCCGCACTAGTAAGCAGGAAGTTGTGGGTTCGAGTCCCACCCGAGTACGCTTGTTGTTTTTTCACAAGCCTTTGGGTGCAAACAATTAATATACATTGTTAATAATACACGTCGGAAAGGGTAAAAGTCCACAATTAATTAACATCTCCCCGACGCAAATCCTAGAAAATACGGTTGTTGTGTTGTTTATACGCGAGAGGGCGCTCACAAGATGAATAGCTGGAATGCACGAACCACACTGAAATAGGGTGCACTGCCCAATTCGTGCAATTCAAGGGAAATTCTCCGTCAGGAGGAGGCGTTCAAAAGTGCCCCTGCAGTTTATTTAAAAAAGAAGAAATTGTGTGGCCCAAGAAATTGTGGAATTGTGTAAGAATGACCTGGAATGAATTACCTAGATTTAAAGGCTCCCACTCTGGGAGAAAAATGCTATTGAAAAATTGTCCCAAGAGCCTGTTAAATTAGTGGATGTCATTTGAAAAAATAGCTGCTGAGAGACTTGGGAACGTTCACTTTTTGGAGGGTGAGTTTTTCTGAGAGGATAATTAAAAATTTAATGGTTAACCTACTAAAAATTCAGAATCAATTGAAACCTGAATGACCCCAAAACATATTGTTTATGTTTGAAAGGCCTGACGGACTCCGGTTGCTTGCACCGGGGCTGCGAACGTAGTTGAGTTTTACACTGTTTCAATGGTGCTTATAATTCAGTGCACCCGCAACCAAAGACCAAAATAACGATCTTTGCCCGCAACGTGGCTGGTTGTGGTTCGTGCGTTCTAGCTATTCGTCTTGTGAGCGCCCTCTCGCGTATCAAAAACACAACAACGTCTTGAGCATGCAAGACTACATACAGTTGGCAAGCCCAAACAGCTCCCGGATCAGCTGCAGTAGTACAGTAGGCCCCTATCAAAAGGTTTCAACTCGTGCTAAGAATCTTCTTTTGTGTTTGGATGAAATGCCGTATTGGCAAATTTCTTTATGAATTCTGCCGTTTCCGGTAGGTGTGTGCTGCCAAAACTTTGAGGAGTTTATAAGAAATTTTCTGCAGAACTTTACTGATTTATCGGCCCCAATCCATGCAATCAGTAAGGGCCTAATTAATTGGCTTGGACCTTTGGGGGATTTCTTGTCTAGGCCTACATCTAGCCCAGGTTGGACGTTGTCTTCATTTCATTACGACTGTCCCTCCGTAATGTAGAATGGTCAGGGAGTCCACCTGGGCTAGGCCTACATCTATCTTATCTACGCTGAGTGATACTCGGCAAAGTCCACTTCTGGATATTCATGCGGAGCAAGGGGGATGTTAATTTTGTGCTAAAGAAAGGAAGTAAAACATAAAGTGCAAGTAAAAAAAAAGAGCTCCAATCTTGGGGCTAGTTATTAGCCCCAAGTTAGTAGCCCCACTCCGGGAGCGGAGTGGATGTCGGACCCCACAGTTCTAGGGGTATGTCTTGAAGACGTCCACCGATGGAGCTTTTAATGAGGTTTCCTCTAAGTGTGAAACCAAAACCTTTATTGCTTTCAAAAAGGCTAATGAAATATGAAAATGGACTTAGATGGGACATTAGGGTGTATTTTCAAGGATTCTGGTTTGAAAATTGTATTTGTCTCACACCGTTTATAATTCAGCCATGAAACATCTCAAAGTTTGTTGAACCATCCATAGTTTGTTGCAGGTACATGTATGCTGTCATGTTGGTAGTGCGTGCAAAGTTCAATATGTTTTCAGATTTCCATTCAAACTTGGCCGCAGAGTTCATTCCAGATTTCCCTGTGATTATAATATTAATTGTAATCTGTTTACAGAAGGCATTTCAAGTGTACCTATCCATACATCAAGACCCCGTTCATACACCTGCAATGCTCCCAAATGTCCAGAATCAAATTATTCATCCCTGGCATACATGTGTATACCCTCACACACACGGTATACATGTACATTTTCCACATTTGCACACACACACACAGAGAGTCACCACATAAACCTGTATCATGTGGCGTACGTAATGTGCATATACATGTAGTTACTGGTTGTATGTGTTGATAAAGGTAAGTTTGCATTATTTAGATTGGATGTTTTTGCATTTTTCACCAGCTCACTCAAAGGTGCACAGAGTAGTAAAGGCAAATTTACAAAATGCAGTGTGAAATAAAACAAATGCCAAATCTCATTAGCTTATAGGAGGACGCGACTTCTGCAAGACTTTTGGCCAGGGCGGTGAAACAACCTGAGGTGAACGCACTGTTACCGTGCAAAAGTGCATTCACCTTAATGCCCATGATATCTCCCAGCTGCGTACCAGGACTTCTTGTTTCAAAAACAGTCCTATTCCATATTTTACTGACTTATTTTATAGTCTCAGTCTGAGGTTTATCATCAACATAATCATTCTGTATGTCATCTACGTACGACAGTTCCAACCCTGTTTCCTTACTATCCTACTCACTCCGTTTTTTGTCATTTTGTCTATTTATAATATTGGTGATATCTTTTTATCAGTTTTTTATCTGTAGTCGTAAATTTTAATCAGTAAATTTTTATTTCAAATGTATTTTTTTATGTACTTTCTCCAATATCCTATATTTATAATTTAAACTTGATGTTGCTAATTGTTGTTTTTATATTTATATGTACATTCCTTTTGTAATTTTTATATTTTTAATCAATTGTAATTTTACCACAATTTGGCCTTTGACCACGAAAGTAAAAGTGATAAATTAAAATAAAAAAAAGGAATGTAAAATGCATGTATTTTCACCTGGCACTGACCCAAGGTCACGCAAAGTTGTGTCTGCAAATGGGCTTGTTTGTTTGACACGGATCTGGATCGCAATCAGTGATCCCGAAGCTGGTTCGCACCATCTATTAAGTGGGTTCTAGTGTCAGTGAACCAGTGCAAGATCACTGATCGTGAGCCAGAGGCAGGCCCTTAGGAGTTTATCTAAAGTCGAGCACATGATGAATACATGCACAACTGTACATGTACATTGCACCTGCACATGTACCTGTGAACAAGTACATATACACAGTTTAAGCACTTGCTGACCGCATTATTTTGTGTCTCACATTTCAACTCTTACGAAAATGGCAAAATAATTTAACAGCCAACTTTTGTTACAAACAGCCAATTGCAACAAAATGCTGATTTCATGAATCGTTTGAACAGGTTTTTGTATATATTTGTATGATTTGAACACTCTGGGGAGCGCCCACAGAACAGTATTTGCAGCTACAACAGTACGTACACAGTACCCAACTTTTAAGTTCAAACATGGTCCACCTCCACAGACTTCTTGGACTTTGTGTGTGTTTACAAAGCAAACAGAGACTAGAGTCAGTGGGAAGTGAGTTGAGGGGAATAGGCAATTAAACCTTTCAGTTCTCACGCACAGCTGGATAGTGTTTGCATTTCCCCAGCACAGAGTTGTGCTGTAGGTGGTACATTGTATCAGTTTGTTGCTGATGCAGCAGACACTGGGTGGTACTTTCACATGTTGAGTACGCTTCGTTTGCCGTATTTGAACGAAAATAACAGAACTGCGCATTTTCGGTTGTTACAAACTGAAAGAGCACTGTTTAAGGAAATTCAGTGTATTTTTGTTTTTACAAAGTGAAAATTGTTGAAATTTCCCTGTTAAAGGTTTTCCACGTATCGATATATACATGGACTACACACAACTCCACAAATAGAAAGAACAGAGTGAATTTGTGTAAAAACCAAGATGTATATCTGCTATATGCTTGCATGTCAGTTCATAAAAAACACAGTTATTTTGCAGCTTGTCAGTGTTGGCTGTGTGTGGGCACACCCAGGTGTCGATCAGGTTGTAGACAGCAAATTTGTTTATCACGCAACTGAAATTCAGAAAGTCATGTCCGCTCACAGTAATTGTGTTTCAGTTAGTGAAATCGATGGTGAATTGTCCATTGTCACCCATGCAGGTGATTAAGTTGAAGTTATGGCCCAACCGCAGCATGACACCATGATAACAGATGACATTGGGGCTGGAGTCATCCCACAGATAGTCAACCCCTTGCTTCAGCAGGAGAGGGACCGGGCCACCTTGACTAAGGACCTGGTCACACGGATGACTTACATGATTGACGGGGGGCAGGACAGAACAGCGCGCAGACGACACATTGGTAAGTGTAGCATATACAGGCTGTGACATGCAAGGGTGAGAAAGGTTGGGGCCTCTATGTCCCATGCCCACAAGATTCAACGGGGGGTTTATCCGGTTTAACAATGATACTAACGAGTGTTACCAGAAAATGCTGAATTTCCGTGTGTATTCTAGATGCATGCACAAATGGGCTTTGCCAGTCATTCAGTCAGCCATCCAGAAGTACATGTAAATGTACCTGTACATGTACATGTAGGTAAACAGATATTTCCTGAGATTTTCAATAAACTCAAATAGCTGATAGCTAATTTCCTCCTAAAAATGGAAAACTTTGAGTCAACTACTAAACCAGCTAAATCCCTAATGCTGTTGTTAAGAGCTACAGATTTGTTCCGAGATTTATTTGGAAGTCACATTGAGTTTTTGCAAAATAGTAGGCCAACGTCCCCTTTAATGCACGATATTGCCATGATTGCTGAGCCGTGCCAAATTCATTCCACTTCTTCCAAGTATTAAGCGTAGAAATTCATGTCCTGTGTGGTTTTGAATCTGTGGTCACTACTCTACATGTACAGCTTGGAATCCACTTCCAAGGAAATCAGTTGGGAAATCGCAACATACATGTACATTCCCAAAACTATCTATTCAACTCAGAGTCAAGGTTGACATCCACCTGCTGTTCCCTGTTTCCTTTTCAAAGAGCTTATTGTCCCTGAAACCAAGTTTTTAAAACAATCCACTAGGTAACTTACCAGTGGTAAAGGTGATGGGGACAAGAAGCTTCTGCAAGGTGAGTCACAAAATTAAACATAGAACTGCATTTATTTCTCGAAGTGTTTCTGGTTTATTAACATCAGACCAAACAAAATAATAGCCATTCTTCCTATTACATTGAAAAAATAAGTTGGGTAAGTGGGTAGGCTCTTTCTTTTTCTTCTAAGTTTTGGGTCAAAAATTTTAGGATGGAGAATCTTATTTTCTTTTGATTAAAAAGTGATTTTGATAGTCTGCGGTGTGTTCCATCCACTTTTTTTTCTGCGGATTTGTAATTTGAGGATCAGTCTTGTCCAAGATTGTGTCCAAGTCAGAACCTCTTCAAACAATTATATATTTGTGTTGTACTGACATTTCGATAAATTGATATCCCGAAATTGTCTGAAAACTCATACAAAACCCGCACGATAGCACAAAAGGTTTGCGCACTCCGCACCAGTTGTCACGAAACTGCTATTGTGTCGACGAAAGCAAAAATGTACTAATCTTATTTCAAGCCGTAAATTCACTGTGAAATATGTGCTACTGCAAGTAACAGTGGAGATTGTTTGTCACTACTTTTAATCACACACGAACGGCTGTGAGGAGTCTCACTGACACAGGTACATGTATGAATAGTGATGTTTCACAACACAATGACCGGCTGATCCCGAGATGCTGTTTACACACAAGGCTTGGGCTTCGAGCCTAGCCACACCAGTGTAGGCATGTACTGTACTTAAATGTAGCTCTACATGTAGTACTGTTCGATGTCCGAACCAAAGATCGTGCACCGCATAGAGAAAATGGTGCTTACTCAAGGAAGGGAAAAAACTGTCTAAACCTGATAAACTGGTGCAGTTTAACAAATTTATGGAATGATAATGTCCGATATGCATCCAATTTCCTTTTGACACCGAGATTGGGGTGAGTTGGCGGCATGATGCACGCCCGACTGTCACCTGCATTCTATTACCAGATAGGTCCAAGTCATGTACAGTACATGTATACGCAAGTGCGGCGAGTTGTCCGTGATGCTAAACCCATCCAAACTATTTCTTGCAAGAGAAATCAGTCATGTCAGTTTAGGCGATATTAAAAATATAAAGCTATATATTTTAAATTTCTATCAGACATAACTTTATTTTCAATTTACTGCACATTTTATCATAATTCCCCCTTCCCCCCAAATATTTTGATTCACATTTTTGTATCACAATGCTGTATATCATGGCATTTTAGAATAGCGATTATCGATGCATCAGGGAATCATTACAGCCCTATTGAAGACCTTGTAAAGCACTGATATGTTGTTGCTTATCTAAATCTCATTGTTCTTTCTCCTTTCGGTCCATGTATGGTTTTACAATTATTTCTGTTTTCTTGCGATGCCAGAATCCTGTCTGTTTGCAGACCCAGTGTTCAGTGAGCGAGACCGCTACATCAGAACCTCTGTGGAGACCTTTGACATCGGTGTGGAGCGATCCATTCGGCTAATTGACTTCAAGAAGGTTCACAACATCACATTCTCAGAGGTCTGGGATTATATCTACAGGTAAACAGGGTGAAAACAGAGTGTTCAAGTTGTTTGCTGTCATGTGGTCCAAGGCACTTGTACATGTACACTCCAACAGTCTTTTGTGCTCAAACTAGCATGCTTCAGTCTCGTTGTTTAACAAATACGGGTGATGCGCAATGCAGTGCACAGCCAAGCGGTTGCCATGGGAAGGCCAGTTTTGGCAGTGCAGTTTTAGGAAATGGGCGACAGTTACCAATTGTTTCCTGCGGTGTACAATTGTCCCCCGAGGGTTTACAAAACCCATGGACCCTGTCACAGCAGGCAACAGTTGTTTTGTTATACCATAGTCATAGATTAAACTGTAACAGTTTTATGTGTAATATATGCATATTTTATTACTAGATAACTTAAATCAAAACACTTTGACAAATTGAAACACTTTAACAATGAATTAGATATTAAATTAAAAGGAAAATGATTGATTGTGATATCATTTGTTGACTTTTTTGGGGGGGTGAAGAAATCTAGGATTCATAACAAACTGGTTAAATTACTTGAGAAACATGGGATTCATAAAGCACTGGGATTTTGTCAACTGGTTGAATTTCAACAGTTTTTACACCAATTCCGTTGAAAAGTATAGACAAGATTGAAGATCATACGAGAAGAGACAATGGCATGAGCATTTTATAAAATAATGGCAATTGTAGCATAAACAGTGATTGGAGCATATTCGTGTTCCATTAACATAGCTGGGTACACGAACAGAGACCTGCTAAACTCTATTATTGTCAGACTAAAGAAAATAACACATGCAAACGGACACAGTGCTTCAATGTCTCCCACTCAGTGCACATCTCCTACAATAATAGGCGCCAGAACCGTGCACCGCTGCTCTCCACCCTTGTACCCAAGATGACCGTACAATTACACAATTACACGACACATCAACTGTGGGAAAGATCACCATTATCCATAATTTTTTGCTGCCTGCCAATATCGCAAGTGCGCATGATGTGTGAATAATACATGCTCAATTTGTGACCAATAAAAATTCACTTTCTAAGACCGTGGTATAACAATTCTATTTGTTGGCTGCTCTTTGGGAACTTGAATTAGTCCTGATGTTTGTTTGTCAGGGAAACAGAATGTTTTTTTTTTTCGAGTAGCAGTTTTAATTAATCCCTTTTTTCTTTCTATTCTGTAGAATGTCCTAAATGTATCAAATATCTCCCCATATTGTCTACATGTATTGTCTACATGTACACTACACTCAAATGCAAATCGCAGCAAGGCGGTCGGTCATGCTTTTCTTGATTGTAAACCTGAAAAAATGGTCCCTCTGCAGCAACCTCATGGTGGAGCACTGTTCTGTGAATTGACCCATTGATAATAACAGTGAATATAAAGTGCTCATGTCCGCCAGTACTATGCTCAAGGTGTAACTTCATTACTATCCCTGCCCACTGGGGCCATGTACCAGTCAGTTCCTAACAACCATCTTGGCCCCTTGAGTAGTTGTCCAAAAAGACATTCAAATTTACAAATAATAATGAATAAAAAGTATATGTAATACATTATTAAAACTATCACAGTTACAAGACTACAGTTAACAACCAATTACAACTCTTTAGCTAAAGAAGGTATGGAAGAACGCTTATAATAATAATAATAATATGATGCTCAGTGTTACACCTTGAAACCACAAAAGTGAAGGTGGCTCTGTTCCTATGTGTAAGTCAGGTATTATTTTCTTGCCGTGGTGGTAGCATATCCTGAAATCTGTCGGAAGCAAGCAATTTCCTTCCAAATTTAATGAATAATTCAGACTGTCTAATTCACAACTCTTGTTATATTGATGCCCCCAAATTATATAACAAGCCTGCTTTTGCACTCTTTCAATCAAATTAATTTGTTCTTTGGTCATGTTGGTGATGGATGAATGCCACACTGGGCATGCATATTCCAGTATTGGCCTACCGGTAGTGCATGAAATATAAACTGCAACCATGTGAGACTTAGGGACATCGGCTTTTTTGAGATTTTACAATATACATGTCTAATATAATTTTCGAGAAGTTTTAGAAATTATTTCCGAAATATGCAAATGCCACTTTAAATCATTCTGGATAGCAATTCCCAATATTTTGAAATGTGAAACGTGGGGTAAACTTATAAATCCAATTATACTAAAGGTATAGATCTCGGAATGTTGCATTTTAAAAAGCTGATAATCATGTTTGACATTTTGATGGCTTAGGTAGCACATCATTTTGTTGACACCATTCAAATAGATTAATGAGATAAAATTGCATTTGTGATTGATTTCTAAATTTTAGAACTTGCCTGAGAGTCAGATTGTCCATGTGCACATACATGTACATCCATTGTCTGCAACGATCTATTGCAACATCATTAACAAGTATCAAAAACATAATACCAGTAGGACCCAACCGTGTGCATTGAAGTACCCCACATGTGATTTTACACATGGATGAGATCTGTCCATTCAATGTAGTGTTTTGGGTACGTGTTGTAAGAAAGCTGCAGACGATGGGAACCCAAGGTTCAATAATTTTTGAATTACAATTGTATGATTAACCTGATTGAAAGCTTTAGTAAAGTCAATTGTACATGTACATAATTGTGCATAATGACCCAGCTTATCAATTCCCGAAATGATAAAGATTTAAAAGATCTACAAGATAAGAACCGTTCATATTGCCATACTGTTTAATGTCTAAATTTGATTTGATATCTTGTAAAATCAATTTGGCTATAAATGATTCAAATACACATGCAAAAATGGGAGTGAGTGCAATTGGTGTTAACTGATCCAAAGAAGTAATTTTTTTTCCCTTTGGTTCAGGGACAAGTGTAGCAGTTCTCCACAAGTCCAGAAAAACCTTCTCTGACACAATTGTTGAATAAATGTATCAAAGGATTGGCAATTTCAGCAGAAAATTCATGTTGCTGTCCTTCACCACGAATAGCCTGAAATTCCAGAAAATTCCTTAACAGGCAGATCTTAATGATGACCAGCTTTTGATGGATTAAGACTGTGAGACCTCAGTTGGTAAGGCAATCAAACACACTAATTTGTCTCTTTTCAAAAAAAAACTGTATTCAAAACTAGGGATAAAAAAATTTGCACATGAATACGAGACCTAAGTTGGCTGAGCTCTGACAAAGGTGATCAAGTTACTTTAAAACTTGATAGTGATAAATTACAGGTGGTAGTTCAGATGGCCGATAACATGGTAACTGCATGTTATCTAAAGCAGGTAACTAATTGCAAATACATGTACCAGCAAAGTGATTGTTAGTTTGTTCAAGAATCTTCTTGGGATCATAGAAGGCTCCAAATAGGCAAGTTACATTGTAAATCTATACGTGGTTTCAAATTGAAATTGCCAATATTCTTCAACTGTTGACGCCATTTACAAGGTTTATTAGACCTGAATGATGCCATCAAATTATAATATTTAGATTTCTGCTCACTAGTTAAATGTTGAACTTTATTGCCTAATGATCTCCATTTACCTTACGTGAATCCATTTGCCTTTTATCATACACTTCCTGACATTCTTGGATTAAACGTTTTATACCTGGTGTAATCGAGGGTTTATCTTTCTTACGTTGGATAAAGAAAACTTCTGGAAAACAAAAATTATGCTGATCGATCACATCACAGCCTCTTGCCAGTCATAATGAAAAATCCAGTGGCCAAAAGGCCTAACTAAAGAATCCCTATATAGCAGGGTAATAATCTATTTTTGGAGATTGTTGAGACACAGATTCAACAGTGATGCAACAGTGATCGCTTGCACTCATTGGAGCTAAACGTCCAATTTTCTGAAACGTTGCTGGATAGTTTGTAAACACTTTGTCCAATACAGCATTCTTCCATGTCAAAAATGACACTAATTGAGTCATAGCCAACTCATTTCCAATACTATTATATTTTAGATCATTAAAATCTCCTCCTAAGATTATAATTACTGACATATCCATGCTCCCAATACTATCCGTCACACAATAAATGTGCTCAATAAGATCTTGTTTGTATATTGCACCAGGAGGGAAATAAACAACCCCGATATAGAGATTACTTCATGAACGTTTGGAAAATTTTAAATTAATTTTTATCTGCAAACATTCTAAATTGCAAGTATGCCTAGGTAGTAATTGCACGTTGGGATGATTTGCAACATACAAAAGTACTCCACATATATGACATTCATCAAACGTGAAATCCATTAATGTTTGCCATTTGTGTAGAGGCATTATCCAACCAAGTCTCTGTGATGGCTGCCACATCAATGCCAGTAGTATTGAGCAGTAATTGAAGATCATCTATTTGGTTCCTAATTGACCTGGCATTTGTAAACATCAAGTGAGGCAACAGTGGTGAAGTCTTTGGAATCATCGGTAGCCACTGGATCAGAATAACAAATTGGGGTGACTTCTGATTAGTATCTGTTCTGATCAGTACATGTACTCTGCTCAATATTGCTACATGTATTCAAATGTACATGAAAACTTAACCTTCCCTCGCAGGTACCCATTTCCTGCTTATACCCCCCCCCCCGACGGGGAAGAGGCAAATATGACCAGGTCACACACAGTACATGCCCATTCTGGATGAGAACCCCTTACCCTATGATCAGGAGTCAAGGCTTCGAATCCAGCAAAAGCACACCCCGGGCACATTACATTATTCCTTCTTTTCTTTCATTTGCCTCCTTTCAGCCAGCAGTTAGTGATATGGTTTTACTATCAGGACACTTCTGCTAGTCAGTGATTCTTATCTTTGTTGAATGTATTAACACATTCTTTTCCACCGTGTCAGTTGTCCAAGGATTGAATTTTTTATGAAACTGCAGTTTTTAATTTTTTTCTATGTTTTCATGCTAAGGGGGCATGTGGCCAAGTGGTTAGGGTTTGTGGCTTCCAATCATAGAGTTGGAGGTTCGAATCCAGCTGCTGGCAGTATGTTGTGGCCCTTGGCAAGCCTCTTTACCCCTGCTTGCCTCTCTCCACCCAGGAGTATAAATGGGTACCAGCATTAGCTGGGGAAGCAACCTGCGATGGACTGGCATCCCATCCAAGGGGGAATAGCAATATTCTCAGTCATTTCATGCCAAGGAAACCGGAGATAAACACCGGCTTGATGAGCCAAATTGGCTCGTACCAGACTTGCTTTCATGCTAAACTTTCCTTGAAATGGTTACACAGTGATAACAAGGCATCAGTGGTTTAGTACAGTGAACTTGTGCAAATTTCCACCTGGTTTAGAAACACAAAATGTGGCAATGATATGATCACTTTTTTATTTCCCATTTTTTATTCATCTAGGGCCCTGTCCAATGACTTGACTTTTGGTGTCCACGACTTGATGTTTGTCACCTTCATTGAGAACCAGGCCACAGAGGAACAGAAGGAACGCTGGCTGAGTAAAGCTCAGGATGTACAGATGCTGGGGACATATGCACAGACAGAGTTAGGCCATGGTGAGTTTGACCAAGAAGTTGATGCCGAGGGGCCAGAAATAGTCGTTGTATCAGCAAACATTTGCCTGCCCCTGGGGCAAGTCAACCAGTGGTTGATATCTGACCGGTAACCTAAGCATGAAGGCACCAGGCACCATTGTTTGGTATGCGCAAGGGATTTTCCACTACGAACACAGGACGAGGGTTCTCCTCTTTTTCTCTGTTTTCTCTGAATGATGCTATCAACATTCAGAATTTGCATCTTGGCATGAACAGAAAAAAGCCCTTTTTAGCTTGTTATAGTTAAGCTCTGAAGACAAATGACACTGTGTTTGATTTGGATGCTTCCATATTTATTTAAACAGATAAAAGCAGAGAAAACATGTTTTCCTTAGACATGTTAGAGGTGCTCTTTAATACTAAGTACACTTACAAATTATAAGACTGATGCAGGCGCAAGGTTAGAGGAGAACACACAACAATGCAAAAATACCCCAACGTAAAGATGACCACTAAACCAAACAAAAAAGAAGACTGGCCCACCTCCCCAGTACATGTATGTGCACCAACCTTACATATCCGTAACATGTAGTCAGGCAAAACAGAATGACAAGAATTGAAACAGACTGAAAGTAATTGTGTAATGCATGCAAATATGTGGCACGCGAAGATCTTACTCCTTCAACAGGCTTTTTCTTTTTTTAATTAATATTTTAATCAAGACAATATTTAGCTGTTGCCGGCAAATGTAGCTAAACAGTATTTAGCCTGCTTCTAGCAGACAGTGCCCTCTTTGGTGAATATGAGTACTGTACACTTGTGTACTATACTTACTGAATGCCAAGTAGGTGTGGTGGTCTTGTGGATATAGTGTGTGCATCTTGAGATCAAAAGAAACTGGCCCAGCTGGGTTTGATCCCCGGCTGGACTTTTTTTGATCATCCCCCCAAATTTAGATTTTTCTTCTCATCTGATTTTGAAATTTGACTCAACATTTACACGTGTAATTACAGAGTAGTACTTTTTTTCCCGATTCATGGTTCTGGAAAATATTTTTAAAGGAGAAAACGTCCAAAATTGAACAATGGTGTTATTCCTAACTTATGAATGTGAAGTCACAAAGACCATGTACATGTATGTTAGAGAAGAACCAAACTAAGATTTGTCCTGGCAAGAGGTTCAAACAGTTACTGCACATGTGCCCGGAGAAAAATATCATAAAGGTAAGTTTAGTGGCGACAGCTGCTGATAAATATCCACTGCCTTTAATCAATTAAGTGCTCATCTCACTCTCTGTACAGGAGTAGTACTTGTACTTATTTTATGGGTTGGGTAAAATAAAACTCATATCAATTATTATAAATACCAGTTAAATGATGAAATAATTCTCAGAAGGGAAACCACATGTACGTGTACCTCTGTTGGTAAGGCTTTTTTTCCTACCTCTAATGTGTAGGTACTTACCTTCCTGGATTGGAGACCACAGCAACATACATTCCGTCCACGGAGGAGTTTGTCCTCAACACTCCTAACCTATCATCCATGAAATGGTGGCCCGGAGCATGTAAGTTCATTGATGCAGAGTGTTTAATCCATAGGTACAGCAGAGATGAAATGGACTTGAAACTTCCAGCCTCTGCGGTACTGTACCAGTCCCCTAGCAAGTGATAGAGGCAAGATATGCCTTCATAATGACAATAGTTGCCACTTGTGTTTGTCTTGTTGGTACTAGTCCTAAGCTAAAACACCAAATACCATCATGCCACGAGTCATGCTCAAATTGAGAATTCTACCGGTATGGCCCTCATTACATATGCAAATTAGCCCAGAAATCAGACATGTGCAGTTCAAAGTATCCAGCTGAAACATATATGAATTGACATTGCTGCCAGTCAGAGCCAGAACGACCCCTCATGTGAATTTGACTGTGTGCTGGGGCAGTGTGGGCTAAAAACAGTGAAATGATATTGAAAGAAAGTTTATATGCTAATAACATACAGAAGAAAACGAATATCACAAGCTAAACCAATTTAGGTGTAAGCATGAAATGGAAAGTGTGCAATGTTGCATATGTGCCTTTGCTGGTACATGCACCTGTATTCACCAAAATGGTCAGTGAAACTACATGCAAGTGTAGTTCCGTAAGGATTTTAACATTTCTGTTTGTGTTGATATATTTCAGTGGGCAAAACTTCCACCCATGTTATTCTGATGGCACAGCTGATTATAGGGGGAAAGAAGTACGGCCCACACGCCTTCATGGTGCAGCTGAGAAGTCTGAAGGATCACAGTGTGCTTCCAGGTAAGCCTTGCTGTCTAGTCACCGGTTATGTGACCCAGAACAATTCCACATGGACCCTACAGCTACAAAGCATATCCTTATTCCATCATGTATCACCACGAGCTTGGGCATGCACTTGAGAACATACGATTGCCACATGTATGGAGGCCTCCGTACATGGACATGGTCACGTCAATGGTCTCTGCAGTGTTAAGCCATTTAGTTCAGGTTGCAAAAGTAACAGATATCGACGAGCCAGAAGTGGATCAGTGTGACTTTGGATGTCTGATTCACCCGTTGAGACAAATTTGTAGTACATTTGCATTTTTCTGTGGGGGTGGGTTGGAAAGAGAAAATTGTCAGAAATTGTTCATTGTCCATATGAAATGATAACCCTCCATTAAATTTGTGATTAACCAACAATGTGGTTGGCAGTTTGTGAGAGCAATCATTTATTTATTGGATTTTCTTCAATTTGTAGGAAAGCCATTGCTTTCGTCAAGATATTGGTTCCCTTTTTCTTCCTTTCCCTTTCTTATTTCTCTCCCCAAAATACATTAGACTGCACATGATTTTTGTCGGCGGCACTTGAGCCAGTTTTGAATCTTCTCTCCTAATCAGATTTGCACCAAGAAAAGACCTCAGGCTCAAGATGCACTCTAACATGTCTAAACATTAACATTGTGATTATGTTATCAAGAGTCACATGACCGGCTGTTAATGGTCAGGTCTTTGAAGGTCTCAGTTACTAATCTGATTAAGATGTGATTTCGTCTTCATCCTACGTTCTGTGTGTTACAGATAAAAATTGGCATGACACATGACTCACTACTTTATTTTTTATGTATTCTTTTATCTTTCTTTTTTTTATCTTTCCTATTTTACTTGTTGTTGACATATCGTCCGAACACAGCAAAGAATTCTCAAACTTTTTTTGCTAGACCTTTGATAAACAAAGTAGATATGCACCCTTTTCGAGAATTTTCGTGACATCGTGATCACCTTGTCAATATGGGATTTTTTTGGTTTGCATCCAATTATCTTGAAACATTCTGAGCAGATGTTGTATGATATCTGCATTCCAGAGTTGAAATGACGTTGTGAGTTGATCTTTTCTGCATTTCTTTAGTTTTTCCTAGTAGATGTCCTCCCTCACTGCTACATCTCTCTGAGACCAGTCGACCATGGGTGCTATGGTCGGATAGTCACATTTTTCTTTACAGCATACTGATACCAGTGAGAAGGCTTTGAAGCTTTTAAATGTAGAAAAGCCTTGCATTTTTGTGTAAAATGAATGCAAACTCTAGTTTGTACTGGATTTCATTGCTTGCTTGCTCATTTTTTGGTATGTATTCTATCAATGATGTAAAGTGATATATTTAGAATAGTATGATATTGATTTGATTGCATTTGTTCTCATCCATGGGAATGATTCTTTGTGCTGTGGTCTGACATCTGCATTTACTCACATTGTAGGCAGATCAGTGGGAGCCATTGGGGAAAAGTGGAACTTGGGAGGTGTTGACAATGGCTACTTGGCCCTCAACAACGTCCGCATCCCTCGGCAGGACATGTTCATGAAATACTCCGAGGTATGTGGACAGATCCCCTCTCAACATTAAACATGCTGTTGGTATTGAAATTAACATTCAATTCAATTTTATTTTGTCATTATTAGAGCAGTTTTAAAAGTGAAATTCTTCCTGATAAGCAGATTGAAAAATACAGAAAAGATTTTTTTATGTTAAAATATAAACAGGTAGACATCACAAAACAATGGAAACAAGGTAACTGAAGCTAAAGTACAGTGAACAAAAGTTATAAAAACATGGAAATTGTAATAAAGTCTAAAGTTTGATGAAAAACGAATACAAAAATCTTGTCATGTCATGCAGTGAATAAGAAATGTAATGCAATCAGGGAGACGGAAATACTGAATCTTGTTGAAATCTTATTACATGTATTACCAACAACAAATAATCATCTCTTATAAATAGAAAAGACTGTAGCTGTAGTTAATTGTAGAGTTCGTTCTGGCATTGGACACTTGAACAGGTGAATACATTGCACAACAGCTTACACTCCGTGAACTTACCAACCAGCACACATTAGTTGATGATAGTAATTTGGCTTTACATCAGGGACCACATACACAGAATTCAGTATTAACACACTGGTATATGTCAGTGTAAGGGCATTACTTACTTGTAGCATAAAAATGATTCATAATGTAATTAAGTACTTAATTTGAAGTTCTTTTAAACTTTGTATTTGATTTGATCCCTGTTTCCCACATTGTGTTAAGAATAAATTTGGACCAGTAAAACCAATTTGGACAATTTGTGGTCACTTTGTAATGGAATTAGTTTTGGTTTATCAATCTGTATAATAAACTGTAAATAAAGGGATTCCCTTGTTCACCTGCAGTTAGGAATTAATAAAATACTCATTTATGGTCCTTCAGGTGACTAGTGAAAAAATACTTGTGAAAAACCCAAATACATGTACATCACTGATTTTTTCCCCCTGGCTTTGTATTATGATCCAGGTTACTGCAGATGGCACATACAGTAAGAGGGGTAACCCCAAGGTCCTTTACTCTACCATGATGGTGGTCAGGCTCAAGATAGCTCAGGAATCTTGGCAGTCCCTCGGCCGTGTGCTCGTCACAGCCATCCGCTACAGTGCTGTTCGCAAACAGGGCCCCATAGAAGAAGGGTGAGTATCGAAAGTTGTGGTTGTCTGTCTCTGCCACAAGAGTGCATCTTCAATATCTAAGCTTTTGCTGTGATAAAGGATGTCCCCATTGCAATTTAATACCTGTGGCTGTTTAGTTTGGAAATAATTTCATGAGTTTCAAACCGGCATGTGAAGTCTGCCCAAGTTGAATTGGAGTTTATATGTTGCCAAAAATAATAATAATAAAAAAAACACAATCAGAATGTGCAAACATTTACAAAGTTGCATCAGGAATTTGCATATATTTACATATCAGTCTTTGTGCGTTGTATTTAACAGGGGAATATTTTTTAAGACATTTGAAATGTGAAGTGAGCTGACTACTTTGCTAATACGGCCATTTCACAATAGTGCGCCACCAAGAATTTGCAACGTGTTGGCCAATCACAATACGCGGAATTTGTCGACCTAATGCACGTTTGGAAAGGGTCGACAAATTTTGCACGTTTTGATTGGCCAATGCATTGCAAACTCTTGGTGGCGCACTATTTTGAATCGCTTGTATTAACACCCCCCAAACAAAAACAAACCCTTGAAAAAAAAAAACAAAATTGCTTCAGTCGTTTATAGTGTTAACCGGAAGGTTTTACAACATCTAACTGAAATACTGGCTTCAAACATGGATGATTTTGAGTAAAAATGTATCCATTTTGAAATCATTCCAAATCTTGTTTTTCTTAATAAATACATGTAAACTATTAACATGATATCGCACCTTTAGAAAGCTTAATGTACGACCCTTTTACACAATACCAGCAGTAATTTTACTTGAATATTTTGCTTGTTTTTACCACATTGGTTGACAAATAATGTTTAAGTCAGCCAGTTAATGATCAACTCATACTGTGTTTTTTTCTCCCAGGGGCCCTGAGGTGGCTGTTCTGGACTATCAGACTCAGCAGGAGAAGCTCTTCCCTGGTCTGGCCACGGCCTACGCCTTCAATGCCGTCAGCAAACGACTGCAAGAAGTCTTCGACAAAGTGCAGGCGGACATCTCGAAAGAGAACTTCAGCGGTCTGCCTGAGGTGAGTGACCAGCACCTGTAGTGTGCCAGCTTTCGTTGCAGCTTTGGTTTTCTCCCAGAGGCATTGCTGCTGCCGTGTTGGTCTTAGCCTTTTTTCCCCCAACTTTTTTGCATGAAGTCTGGCTTCGTTGTGGAGAGAATTAAAGTGCGCCTGTACCGAAAATCTTGCACATGTATCAGTAATTTTCAAATGCCTGTGATGTAGTTTTCTCATAAGGGTAAACATGTAGCTAATTGCCCGTGGTGGCATATGTGTAAGTTGACCTCAAATTATTTTCCCATCTTGGTTTGCTGTGTATAAATAAAACAATAATTACGAATTGAAAGGAACTAGAAATGCATTACGTTATGGTGTGGCTACCTGTACCTCATATCAATATAACAATTTTATTATGTCAATTAATGTATTCAGCTTTTCTGTTCGTGCACGTGTGTTTGCAACCTCTCTTAATGGCATCCTTTCTAATGTTTGAACTTAGAAGTTATGATCAAGAGTTATTCAAATAAACTTTGAGAGAGTATCCATTTGTAATTGTTTGTACCCTGTTACTTTACTATTTGTGCCTTGACGTTTGATTTGACAAGTTTGTTCATAAGTTACAATTTTGGGTAAGGCTTTCTTCATTGGAGCTGAGAATGGATGAAGAAATTTCAAACTTCTTGTATTGGCCCAGCTTCACGCCCTGACTTGTGGTCTGAAGGCATTCACCACGGACACAGCAACACGCTTCGTTGACACTGCGCGCTATGCCTGTGGTGGGCACGGTTTTCTGCTGAGCTCAGGTCTGCCCTACAGCTTCTCACGGTTGTCTGCTGGCTGCACCTATGAGGGGGAAAACACCGTGATGATGCTGCAGGTGGCAAGGTAGTGTTGCTGGGTTCTTCTCTATGTCGCATGCGTATTCATGAACCAATCCACTGATTTCATTGGTCAGTATTTGAGTACTCCTGGCAAAGAGCAACGTGTGGTTGAACCATAGGGTTGAGAAATACAGTTGTATGTCAATGCACTGTGTCTAGACTTCAACAAAACAGGAAGGTAACAGAAAGTTAAACTCTTGGTAGAGTGAGCATAGTTTTGAGGTAGAAATTTTTGAGATGGAAAGTGTCTACGGCATTACGTATGGGCAGGCAACTTTGGCAAATGCGAGCACAGAGTGATTTTGAATGCAGCAAAAAGTCTGAAAAATAATTCAGTGTTAAGTGCAACAACTGTCGAGATGTAATTAGATCATACTTTGACCAGTTGGTGAGTTTATTTGCAGTTCACAACATAAAGGTTTTGAGATGTTGTCCCTGTCTGTACAAGGCTTTTAGGTGCCCCAGAATTAGAGAGGTTGATCCCAGGAACTTGTAATAAGCAAAGATGGACCCCTCTACCTCTCTGCACTATGTAGGTATTTGCTCAAGAGTGCCTATGCAGCCCAGAACGGAGGCACCCTAGCTTCATCAATTGCCTACCTGGCTGAAGACAACAGTGGTCAGACATGGCCAGCGCAGACAGTGAAAGATGTGACAGATTGTGGGCTGCTCTGCAAAGCTTATCAGCACCGAGCCTATCGGTAATTATTGGACCTTTGTCAAGTATTATGTGATTTCTGACTCCCCAGTGTTTGACTTCTTAATTGTCTGATTTCCTTGCTGAGAACTACAATAAAAGTCTCCTACTCAAACACCCTAACCCTGCATTACTCTCCAAGCTATGCATAAAGAGCAAGGAACACAGGAGATTCACAATAAGTGCTCCTCCAAGAGTTTGCAACACGTTGGCCAATCACAATGCCCGAAATCTGTAGACCCAATGCACTTTTAGAAAGCGTTGACAGATTTCGCTCATTGTGATTGACCAATGCAAATAGCAAACTCTTGGAGGCACACTATTGTGAATTACCCGTATTTGCATGTGTATGTTAGGTACTCTTCCGCATTTGTTGAAGGATATGAACTAGTCCAAGTGTTGGTTGTTAAATTCTTTTGTTACCTCTAACGTACGTTTGTAACAGCATATCACGATGTGCAGTCCAGTTCAAGAGACTGAAACAAAATAACATCCAGAGCAGGTCAGAGTTAATAAGCTGAATATGGATATGCATGCCTCCACACATAGAGAGCCAGTGACTTTCCACGATCATGGAAAACAGACCGAATTTGTGGAATCAACACGTTAAAATGGAATCCATTGCTTGAAACAACTTCCAAAATTCCTCTGTAAGCATGGCTGAAAAAGTAAAGAAAACTTTCTGCACAGTACTAAAAAAGAAACGCCTACCCGAGCCTTATAAAATGCTTACTTTTAGTGAATGAATTATGCTGGAAACGTGCTAAATTGCACCTCTCCAGCATCATATGTGTTACCGATACTTGAAACTCATGCACACAGCGTGCATGAGCCCCTGGGACATGGTGATGCAGTGGCCGGCACAGCACAGCATTACGGTGCATTCATTGCCGTGCTCACGTGCAACTGTACTAGCAATGAAATCAAGGCGCAAACACATTATGTTCATTGCTCACATTGGGAATTCAGTCTGTGAGTCCGCATAAATGCCTTGAGAGGAGGCTGGTACCACACAGTAAAACCATCACACCGTGGCAGTTACTAACGGCAGACATATTGGATTTTTCTTGAATCAAATGAAGTCTAGTGAGCATGGTGTACCATACCGGTAGTTGAATAGGGCCGTGAAATTCTTTGATGAAGAGCAAAGGTTTCACTCACAAACATACATTTTAAGGCCCAGATTTGATGTTAACTTTCCGGATTTTGTTGTACCACTGCCAAATAAAAATGGCGGTTCAGTGTCCAACATTAACATATTGTGATCAATGGCTGTTGCGTGCAAGACTTACTCCATGACTGCACTGAACATATATCAAGTGTAATCTGATTTTGTACACGAGGAATGACACATGAAATGCCCTTGATTGATTGTTGTAAGTTATTGACGATCGTGCTGCTTAGAAACGTAAAACTGAGGGGATACTGTAACTATAGAGTAGACTTTTGAAAATTTTCACAGTATAAAATTATAAAAAAATAAAAAACATTGCAGAGTATTTCTTAACAGGGTATTTGTTTCTGTTATTTTTTTAAAATTTATTTTGTGGGGGGGTTAAAGTTGGGCAAACAGTTTCTATGCACAGTTCATTACTTACCCTCCTTTTGTATGCTGTAATACTAAGGTATGAAACGAAATTTGAATTGCTGAAGCAGAATTCAGGATTCTGTGAAACCCCAAATGCCTGTTTATGAAAGGGAAAATTATTGGCTCCACACATAGGTATATTATGCATGTGTAACAATGCTTCACAGTGCTCTTGTATTAGTAAGCATGATGTGTACACCCTGGTAGGGCAGTGGACTTTATAAAGTACATGTCTGTACATGTACCTAAAGTTGTATGCAAAGAAAGAGTCATATCTGAACCAATCTGCTCTTCTCTGTTTTATCACTGTACAGTCTGGTCAGTCAGGCTGGCCAGCATGTGACACAGCTGATGGGCAAGGGGCAGTCCCAGGGTGCCGCCTGGAACAACTCCACCATAGACCTGGTGCGCGCTGCCAAGGTAAAATGGAATTACAGATGTGGTCTTTCATGTGGGTGCATCGGCATAAGGGGATGGTTACTGGGATCTCCATCTGTTCACTCTGAGCAGCAGTGAATCGTCCACTTTGCCTGTTGGTTTTCTTGTGTTGTGAAGCCTGGTGCCATTTTCATCTCAGTAATCAAAGAAAGACTCTAAGCTTGAACACTATTGTTATTTTGACTCGCTGTGTTCAAAGAAGGCTATCAAACAACCAGTACAGTGAGGTAAATGTAGACATTAACTGAAGTGCACATCGTTTGGTTTAGTCTAGTTTCTCTAATATATGTACTATGCATACATGTACAAGTATCCAGGGTCCATTTAAAGGGTCCATGCAAAGTAACTTTTGAAATGCAGTTCTGAGAGCTCCTTTGTGTCCTATTTAGTCCGATATTCAGTTGTTGTCGTGCTATTTTAAGGACATTTCTGTGCCTTTTTTACCTTTGTACTCGTGCAGTATGAATATCAACATGTGCTAGCAATAGTGTGATACCATCCATGGCAGGTACCTCAGTGTTGCAGCTACCATACTTTTCTGCACCCAAATTTGCCAAAATTGTGGATACCTTCCTTTGATGATATCACAGCCACAGCTCCCTGGTTGGTCTTGAAAAGCATGGAAAATTGAAAATGTTCAAAAAAAGCACTGTTTGGTGAGAATAAGAGATATCAGATAGTGTTTAGGATTTTGGAGGAGCGCAAATTTGTGCAAACCATTTTCAGCAAATCAGATTTACATCATGGACCCGTAACGGTTTAGATATCCAAAGCATGCTTCTGCTCTGACAATCTTGCCACTAAACAGCGGGTTGTTCTGCCTCCCTAGGCTCACATGCAGTTCTATACTGTGGCCATATTTTTTGACGTGATGAAATCCTTGAATGTGGACCCAGCCATCAGGGCCGTACTGCAGACCCTCAGCTGCCTCTATGCCGTCTACATGATGGACCAGAGCATCGGCGACTTTCTGGAGGACGGTTACGTGAATGCCGACCAGGCTCAGATGATCCACGCTCAGTATCTGGCCCTCCTAAGTGCTGTCAGGTAAAAGGGGAATATAGGCTTTGTCAGAATGAACTAGACAATGGCTGTGATGAGCATGTATGTCTATAGGAGGTAGCTGCAGCCACAACGTTAGGACAAAGCCCTAGCTAGTTGTTGCAGCTGCCACACATGTTATCTCCAGCTGTAGCCGTAACTTTCGTATGCGGCCCTTGCCAATGGCTGCCATAGCCAAATGTATTTCCAGCTAGCTACATCCATAGAGTGTCAGTAGAATATTTGAGAGGTCAAAGGTAAAATGAAATCCTCTTGGGTTTATACACTCTTACTCTCATATATCTCAGAGCCTCTCATTCTTTTCACTGTCACAGAACTTACATGTGACTTATAAATGTTAACCTTCTGTAGACCAGTGAACAGCTTGGGTAAATGTAGGGACCAAGCAAGGTCCACATAATGCAGCTTGGGTAAACCTTGCGTGGACTATTTAAAGCAAGGTCCACATAATGCAGCTTGGGAATATGTTGTATGGGCTAAACAAGGTCCACATAATGCAGCTTGGGTAAACCTTGCGTGGAGTATTTAAAACAAGGTCCGCATAATGCAGCTTGGGAATATGTTGTGTGGGCTAAACAAGGTTCACATAATGCAGCTTGTATCAACCTTGCATGGACTATTTAAAGCAAGGTCCACATAATGCAGCTTGGGAATATGTTGTGTGGGCTAAACAAGGTCCACATAATGCAGCTTGGGTAAACCTTGCGTGGACTATTTAAAGCAAGGTCCACATAATGCAGCTTGGGAATATGTTGTGTGGGCTAAACAAGGTTCACATAATGCAGCTTGTATCAACCTTGTGTGGACTTAGCAAGGTCCACACTGGGTCATCCACTTTCTGAAGAACACCCTAAGAGGCATTTTTGGGGTTAAATTTGTCTGTTGCTAAAGAGAAGAGAAACAGTCAAGGAAACCATTGACAAAAATAGCTACGTTGAGTGAGTTTTCTGAACTGCATTGAAACAAAGAATGCCCATACATGTAATATAGGCCATTTCTATCTGCACACTGTTGCATGAAACCTTACAGCTGAAAGGTTCTACAGCCTCAACCGCTGCCCGAGTCAAAACAATCGCCTCCAGTAGGAGTTTCCAAACCAAGAGTTGAATAAGCCCAGTAGTATGCCCCCCTTGGCGTATTTTGACTATACAAAATGAAAATGAAACGTTATCCTCCTGTATTAAACCACAAATCATGATTTGCATCATGGCCGACATGTGATTCTCTTGCCCTCGACTCCTTATCTGAAGAATTGACACTGAATTTCCTAGTGAACTCAGGATATTTTTTTCTGTGGAATTGTATTCCTCAGACCTGAAGCTGTTCCACTGGTGGATGCCTTTGACTTCTCTGACATGACTGTACACTCAGTGCTTGGATGCTACGATGGTAATGTGTATGAGAGACTCTATGAGCATGCCCTGAGGGACCCCAAGAATAAGACCGAGGTAAGTCTGTGAAGTGAGAAGGTGGTTCCCCCGATGTTGTGCAGTTCCTGACTGGGTGGCTGGCTGGCTGGATGGGGTATATATTGTCATGGTAGCATGGCTCTCTCAGCTGCCTGATTGGTGGTCTGGGATAGAGTTCCACAGTAAATATATCATGTACACAATTGTGTGTACAGGACATAAGTGTGAGAACCAGGGCATTAACCAACATGTGCGTGTACTCCACTAGATTTCCTGACTTGATTTACACTGACTGGCAAAGTTGATTGGCTAGCTCGGTGGTTGGATAGTTGGTTCTCAAGTGTCTTGGACTTTATGGTTCTGACTGTAAGCATGGATGTGCTGTGATTGACCAGCTGAATGGTTTGATTGTTGATTGGCTGATGTGTTGCATACTTGTTAGGGTAGAACACTGAAACCTATCTGACGCCTTTTTCACGTGAGGCTGCAAATTGTTGGCTTTTTAGCTAGCTGGTGAAAGGTAGTTGGCCGACTTCCTGTCAGGTTTGTTGGATTGCCTGTGGACCTCTGGTGACTTTCTCTAGGATTGCTTAGCCAGTTGATTACCCTGTAAAACTGAAGCTTATCCAAATTGCCTGAGGCTAGCTCTGCCCCTGTCAAAACTTTCTTTGCCCGGGCTTATTTGTTCATCTTAGTACTGTTAAAACATAGGAACTTGCTCAGCACAGACAAGTTTGCCTGAATAGAAACAGTTTACCTGATGAGTTGTTTATGGCATGAAATATTGCTTGTCAAATTGTTGGTGCTTCACAGGCAAGAAATCTGTCTCAAGTTGGGACATACTGTCTGCCAAAAGAAATCTTGGTGGCCTAATCTGGGTTTTACAGTCAGCCATTGAGTTGTTGAAGTTGCATTATTACTTGCTCCTTTGTTCA